TTTTCTCCCCTCCCTAAATTTTATTCTGTTTTGAAAAATGAATGTTCCTTTCAGCTAAAAAGAAAAGGTGCAGTTGACCTGCAAAACATCATTTCATACTGACTGAAACTCTAATATATCAAATTTTTCAAAACCAGCTGACCCTAGAAACTTTTTAAAGTTTGTAATTGTTCTCCATAATACAGCCTGGCTGTCTGAAATTTTGTCCTGCTTTTGTCTGGGATAGAGTTAGAATCTCTTCTAAGTAGCTGGTACAGTGCTATGTTTTGGATTCAGAATGAGAATACTGTTGATAACACACTGATGTTTTGGATTTTTGCTAAGTTGTTTTTATCCTAAGTCACGGACTGCCTTTTGTGTCTCATGCTCTGCCAATGAGAAGGTACACCAAAGAAACTGGGAGGGAGCATAGCCGGGACAGGTGACCCAAACTGGCCAAAGAGATATAAACTGGAGGGGATTAGCTGGAAGGAGGGCAGATCTGGCTTTGGGAAGGGGATCTGGTGTCAGTCAGCTGGTGGTGAGCAATTGTATTGTGCGTCTCTTGTTTATGTTTTCTTCTCCTCTCTCTTTTATAATAATAATAATATTTACTATCATTATTGCATTTTACTTTGTTTTCAGTGATTACACTGTTCCTGTCTTAACATACAAGTTTTACTTTTGAGTAAAACTTGTATGTTAAGCAGCTCCCCATTCCACGAGAGTGGGGTGGGGGGAGAGGGGGATTGATTGAGTGAGTGGCTGCTGGTGCTTGTCTGCTGGCTGGGGTTAAACCACAACAGGTTTGTGGTAGTAAAAGCTTGTTGGTTTTCTGGTTGTTCTCATACTTGTTGTATATAGCCATAGGAATGAAATACTTTATGATTGCTGCAGTTACTAATTATAGGTTGCGTGTGTGGCTTCATATGGACATGTGCATGCACATGCAGTCATGGTATTTGGTAGGCTTCTTGTGTGTAGAAGTGACTAAGAGGGGTTATCTGTGCTGTTAAAGTCTAGAAGCTCTCTGTTTCTTAGTCATTGTATTTCAGTTCATTATTTTCTTTGCAGTTGTTTAACTGTTACAGAATTAGAATACTCTTATATGCATTATGACGCATTTAAATTATGGTACATGAACCCAACCTTTTTGTTGCTATAGTTATGTCTAGGTTTTCCCTTCCCTTATGTGACTTTAGAAATATCTGGAGACAGGTCAAGAGAACTATTTCTTGCTGCATGCTGCTAGACAAAGATGAAACCTGACCCTCCTGTCTAGGTGTCACTTTGTGCTGCATGTTACACAGTAGCGTGCTAGCTAATCTCTGTCTTTTGAAGGGCGAAGGAGAAAAAGCCAGACAATTTATCAGATTTGGTTTTTTCTCTACATGGTCTGGTCTGAAAGCACACGTAATGCTATGGTAAGCATTTTTGCATGTATGCAGATTTCTGAATAGAGCATTCTTTTTCACACTTGCTTTGTCAGTCTCATGGTGCAGCTCTCTATGCTTATCTTTAGAGTGAAACCTAAACAGGCCCAGTGAGCACTTGCCACCACTCACCAGTTCTAAAATTTCTGTGCTTTGCCATGTGCCCCAGTGACATCCTGCTTTTCCTGACTGTCTTGGGTGGTATTGCGTGTATTTCTGCACCATTTTCTGTCTGCAGATGGACTCCCTGTAAAATAAACCAAATGTTTAATATATTGCTTTGAAGTGTCTAGGCAGGAAAAAACAATACCACTCCCAACCAGTCATAGCCTAGTTTAGACTTGTGTATGTGTCGTGCCTGTGTGAGTGGTCTTCAGATAAGCTACCATTAGGAGTGATAGAAGCCAACAGATGTCACCTGTATTAAGTTGCAGAATGGTCATTTAATGTGAGTTCTGAAAGTACAGTGCTCTGGACAGTACTAGACTGTAATGCTACCTGGAAACTGGTACACCTGAGAAAATGGGCTGTGTGAACTAATAAATAGGTCTCTGCCTACAGCTTCTGTGAGTACATACTCCAAAAGTCTTAAATTCCACTTCTGTTCTAGAGTCATCCAAATTATCTTTGCAAATGTGATTTGTCTTAACAGTAGGTAAAAAACATTATTCACAGTATTTATGATACTCTTTTTTTCCCCCACAGGAAACTAACACATCAAAGCAATTTCAACAAGAGGAGAAAAGGCCATTGAAACTGCAAGGAGTTCGCAAGGAGTTCACAGAGGCAAACTCTCACCAGTACAGTAAGTGTCTTATTTCAGAAAAAAATCACCATGTCACACCACTATTGCAGATTTTAACTAGATATTGTAAGATTTCCTTACAACACGAGTCTACCATTGTACCTAAAGACACTTTGATGCGCTTCAGTAAATTATTGCTGTCACTTCTGTTGTCTTGAATGCAGGCTCACTGCCTGGTGCACAGCACCAATTTACACACTGTGACAAGGTATTTCTGTCACTTTATTCTAGTTTGCACAAAGTAGCAAGCTAAGTGGTGAACCATAGCAGGCTGGCTCCCCAGCCATCAAAACTTTAAGCCATTTATACATGTTAGCAAACAAAAAACCATGTTTCTGCTGCAAGTTACATAGTTCTATCAGTATTCTGTCCTCTATTGACTGATGATTCTCTCACTTCTTATGCTAATTAGTTCATGTGCTCATTCCTTCTCTTTGAGTCTGAGAGTTTCAGGAGTTGGTGGGCTATGACTCAGGAATTACCTTTTGTCCAGTTGGAGCTAATTTCAGCACAGTTGTTGAGTTGGCTTTGTTATTTTCTTCCTGATGTCAGGAGTTCTGCCAAAAGTCCCCGTGGCCTGTAAATTATGCATTTTTTTTCTCCACTATCAGTAGTACATTTTTCTTCCCAAGCTTTGTTAACTTCCCCCTAGGTCTGAGATCACTGAAGCACATTGAATCCTAAGCCTTAAAAAGGTAATTCTACTGACAACTAATTTCTCTTTCTAACGCCTGGACATCACTTCTTTGCTTCCCACTCAAGTACAAAACACTTAGGAGGCCAATTACAGTGGGCAAAAGCAGCATCACATTCTGTGGGACTGGGTAAGTTAAGTTCACTCAGTCACCCAGTGACACTATCTAGGGTTCACATTTGCCTGTTTAAAAAGTCACATGAATCACTTCTATTCAAGTCCTCCTTGGCACGTGACAGTGTGATGTGCCAAATGGGAAGAGTGCATCCGCTCAAGCAGCATGTCTCTGCTCTAACTTTCAGTTCCACAGCTTGCAGGCAACAAAACCGCAGTAGCTTTTTGTTCAAAGTGAGACAGAACTGCACATTTTTCATATGCTAGCTCTTAAGGCCCTACCATTTATTTATATTTATTGTCTAGCTCTTTTGTCATTTCTCTACTATTAGCTGCTTTAGATGACTTGAACCTCTGTATATGCACCTGCATATAGGCATATGGGGGATTGCTTGAAGAAAGCTTTGGATTTAGTATTGGAGGGGTTCTGCTGTATTCTCTGTGTGAACATTGTAGACAGCAGTCCTGGAAAGTACCTGGCTAGTCGTGTGTGAGGAAAGTGTTAATGACATTTGCAGTGTGTATGCCTTAAACAAGCTCTTGGTGATGAAACTTGTTGCAGAAAACATCACAGGTGCCCATGTACCAACCGCAAAATAAACAGTTTCAGTTCTGGCTTTGCTGAGGCAGGACCAGCACTGATACTTGCCACCAAAGCATTCCCTTGTGGTGTTTCATATAACAAGTGAACAGTTGCATCAGTGCAAGAAGTGAGGGCACAAATAGGATGACTTCCAGAGTTAGACCCCCGACACCCACTGAATTAAGCCTGAGCATGCACAGTGGTGAAACCACTCCTGCTCTCTCATGCTAATGAGGAACTGAAAACCACTCCTCTTGCCTCCCACGCTAATGAGGAACTCTATAAAAGTGACTCAGGGAGCAGACCAGACGGGACCTCGCCGCCACAAAGAAGCCCAGGGTACTGAAGGACCAACTGGACACCACTGGATCCAGGTGGTGACTATCTTCTGCTCGCACTATCTCTCTCCCCCTTTCTCTCTTTCTCTTTCTCTCTTGTTTTCTCTCTCCCTTTTTTTCCTACACACTTAATTATTTGGTAGTGTTGAACTGGCATTTGTTCTCATCTGCACCTTAGTCTGGGTAGAGAACACTGAATCATAACATCGTGGGCACACAGTACAGTGACTTGGCACACATGCAGTAAATGAGAGACCTCTTTGCCTATGTGCTTGGCATGTAGAGAACTGGCCATTTTGCAAATTTCCATATACAGAAATTTATTTGTTTCCTCAGCATTTAGAAAAGCATGCCTTTGATTGACAGCTGTGTGACCAGGTTGAGGTTAAATACTCTTTAATCCTCATGCTGTGAATGGACTGGGTAACTTTTGCATTAAGAAATAATGTCAGTAGGTACAATTCCCTACAAAGTTTAAAGTGGTGTATGGGCAATTGTCACTTTCTAAAATGATGTTTGAAAAAAATCAAACTGAGATGATGCCAAAATTTTGGACACCAGTTCTTGATATCATTTCATCTAACCAAAGCTGGAATATAAGCCTCATACGGATTTATGGTGTATGTCTTTTCTCTAGTCACCGTAGAAATAAGCACATGACTTACTAGTGTCTCTTCAGTCTGTGGTTCAGGATATTACCAAGAAATCGGTGGTGTGGGTGGGCTCTCTGAGAGCATGAGATTATGTATAGTCTCTCTTTTGATGTAATGTACTTCTGGTTTCAGGTTCACATAACGCTAGGGACCAAAGAAGCGTACATAAAATTTCTGTGGTGCTGGGATCTACCTTCTGAAAGAAGACTCTAAAATAACTTTTTTGCCTTCAACTTGTTTGTCCTGGGACTGACTTGCTTTGGAAAAGAGCTCAACAGAAAAAAGGTTTTCACATTGGAACCATTATAAATAAACCTTTTTAAAGAACTTGCTACCTGCTAACACACATAGGAAGGTCGAGTCCTGCTTTTCATCTGTGTTTCTGCTTCAGACTGTAAACAATGAGTGTGTTTTGGTTGTGTTTCAACTGCTGCATTGCAGAACAGCCTCAGCCTGTAAGTATGAATATTGACACTGCATTGTTTTTATCTAATTAACTACAATGTTCACATTTTCTGGTTTTCTTATGGTTTATTTAAATTAGTGTTGTTTGGCCAAGCTTAGTGAGAATTAAGGAATTAAGTAATATCCTGCGTTGTTGGGAGCAAAAAAAGTCTGTACTAAATGGCTGTCATACAGATATTTCCCTGTCCTTAAGATCAAATCTATCTAAAGTCTTCAGAAAGAGCCTGTATTTGTTTGAGTCAAGGAGGAGGGGAAGGAAAGGGTGAGGAGGATGTAAACTATTCTAAAGTAAGTAACTTTTTAGTTTTTGCATTTCTCAGTGACAAGATTGGTCATTCATCCCTCTGTGCTATCATCTCATCCACTGCTACGTTTCAGTAAACTCTGCCAAATTGCCACTGCCATTGCTTGATAACAGAAGTTTAGAAAGCCTTTAGAAAGTTTTATCTTGCTGGCCTTCAGAGATGTCTGTAGTTTCTTTCTTAGGCCAAGAGATTCCTTGTCGCCTACACAAGAAATCTTATTTTCCTCCACTTTTTTTTTTGTTTTGTTTGTGTTCTGTCCATTTTTAACTTGCAAAGTTAATTTTTGGTCTGAGAAGCCTTTGGTCATGGTCTGGTGCACTCCCACCTGGTTTGGGCTGAAGCTCAGTACAGCTGAGCTTTTCAGTTTGCTTTGCATTTGCAGTAAAATGACTGCTCTGCTACAAGAGAATAAACTGTGCTCTCCTCCTTCTGGCTCCAAGCTGCTTTCTCTAGTTGATTAGTTGGTGTTTTGTTATTTGTCTCTCATTTAGTTTATTTCCATTTTGTGCTTTATCAAAGGGCTATTACAATTTTGTTGCATGCTATTCCATAAATATTTAAAGTGATTTGAAAAGTTTACTTAGTGTCTCTTTTTGATGTATAAAAGAGGATTAACAGATAGGTATGTAGAGTGGGGAGGCCTATCTTAAAATACAGGCAGAAAAAACCCTTCACATACAGCTCTATTTATCAACTGAACTGAATGCTGAATCCTACAGAAGACATAAATGGTCCTGACCCTGGTTACTTAAGGAAATTAACTGCTGAGGGATATTGTCAGCCCTAGCTTGCTTTCTAGAGAAGGAGTCACAGTTGCAGCCAAAGAGACAGCTAACACCCAATCCTTGCGACTCTTAAAACTTGAACACAATTAAGCAATGAAGCATTCAGTATGCCTAACAACTGCAGAAAAGTCACCCTTGGGAGGTAAGCACAGCAAGTAAGGTCTCTGCTACTGAAGAGGTCCTGGGCCAGGCTCCCTGTTCAGTACAGCAGTGCTGTACAAGTGCAGCTTCTGTCTTGAAATGTCTAAAACTCAGGCTCTCTTATTCATGAAAATTGATCAGCCTACTGCATTCAGTGAGCCTATGAAAGACTCTTGTGAAAGGTAACAAGTTTAGAGTGCCTTTAGATTTCAGAGTTGTGCTACTGAGTTACATATTGAGCTGCCAGGTCAGATGTTTCAAATTCTTTCTTTTTCCTGTTCAGTACTGTTGTTAGATGTAGCTTGAGGGAATATCTTATCAAAGGGAGCAGAGTTAAATAAGGAGCAAAATGCTAAGCTTTTATTTCTTAAACCTGATCTGCCTGTGCAGCTTTCAGCCTTATAGAGCTGCTTTGGGTTTTCTTGTACTTTTAAATTAGCCCCCTCATGTCTTAAAATATCTGGTGTTATATTCAAGCATTAGAGTGTTTAGAAAGAAAACAAAAAAGGCAGCAATTTTGTGTTTGTGTATAAATGTGTGAATAAAAATTAACTGAATATTTTATGATCCTTTACTATGGCTGGGAAATTTTTAGCTCTTCGTTAGCTGTATTGATGCTGTTTGCTTATTATAATGCCAGTTGATGACAGAGAAAATAGCTCTTGGGGGGGGTTGGAAACCAGAATTGCTCCAGCTCTCTGTTGATGAGAATGTGTCTTGCCATTATCAACATATTTGAAGGAGGATGTAATACCCTTTTATATCCACAGGATCCACAGAGCTCAGGCTTTCCGCTTAAACATGGTGAGGAAATAGATTATGCTATTTGTTGATCTGGACACCAGTGTTATAGCCATTGAATTGGTTGTTTCTCTTAAATCTCCAAATTTTTCAGTGAGAAGATACCTTCGAGAGCAAAAACCAGTATGAGTTAGTGACAAAGGGAGCTGCCACAAGAACTAATTGATACTGCCTGGAAAAAGTTGTTAGCTTTGCAACCACCCTTGGAAACTATGCTGAAGCATTTATGAAATTACAAAATCCAATGCACTTTTTTATCTTCTTTTTTTTCAGTGGAAGTTGAAGCTACAAAGCCCTAGTAATTTTTGTGTGTCTTAATTCTAATGCTTGGCAGTTCAGCTAGTTTTCCCCTATTCTGCTTTTCATGTCAGAGCTGGGGAGGTAGGCAAACGTGAAGGTTTAGAGGCATTTCTACTAGCTGCTAGAGGCAGAGGTAATCTGGACGTGGTCTGAGAGATGTGCACTTTCACTGGCACTACGTGGAAGTATGCTTTGTGTTAGTGAATAAAGAAGTCAGTCGTTGCCCTGAAGCTAAGTGTTCAGCCTTTTAGCTTTAACTGGTTTTGATATGAAAGGGAGTATTGAGAGTAGAAGCTTCCTCTGCTGCTATCTTACTGTATTTTTATCATAACTTTTCTGGAACAGATCTCAGATGTTCTCTTGGAGATAATTCTAGACCAATACGCAGCTCACAAAGTATGCCTTTTTAAGTGGCAGTTTTAAAGATCTCTGCCTTCACTTACATTTTCAATACCCAACATTAGCATTTCGCAATACTGAAAGTTTTCCTTTTTAAGACTGTTCCTCAAACCTTTGGTTCTGCAGTTCCTGTTATGACACTTACTTATGCATGATACCAAAGTCCCCATTGATTTATATTATAGCTATTTTTCACGTGTTCTCACAGATTCTGAATTTGTAAAATACCCATTAAGCCACAGACTTTAATACATGATCACTTGCTATGATTTTCTTGCCTCCATCTTCAGAGTGGCTTAGTTGATCACTTTAAAATGCTGACTTCTGTAATTCTGTGTAATATCTTGCCACAGAGTGAGGAGAATAGAAGAGTAGAGGTTAGGCAGGAAAGCTGAAGCTGTGAAGTATACTCTAATTCAGATTCAGGGAGTGATGACTTGCTGAGCCCATTGGGGTTTTTTGTTTTTCCAATAATTTTAGAGAGGTTTCTTTAGCTACTTGAGTGTATCCTCAAGAGAGCTGTAGTTTACTATAGCTGAGGAAACGTACCATATCTCTTTGTGTTTTCTCCCTCAAATAAATGTGTGACACTGAGTGATTTGTTGACAAGTCATGCTTCAAGAGTGACCGGACATCAAAAGGAATGAGGCTCACACAATTTTTTAAAATAGTTTTTAGCTACAATTATCTCTCATCTTGCAATTGTAAATTCAGCTTGTTCAGGCTCAGAAAATAGCGTGGGTTTATAATATGCTATCTTTAGCAGGCACAGGGGGTTTGTAATTGTTTGTTTCTCTTGCTTGTGGTACAACTTTTTCAGTGTGAACATAACTACCCTTTATGTTCTGCTTGCTGTTGTATCATAAAGGACCACCTAGGTCACAGTTTGTGTGTTTTGGTACTGAGATGCTCTCAAATCAGAGTATTTTAATTTTGCCTTAAGTTTGACGGGACTGTGTTATAGTTTATTTGTTTCTAACCTGTACAAGATGTTTTCAAGTTACTATTTGGCTGTCTTGCCTCTAGAGGCTGAGAAATAAGTCGGGGACAAATCATGATTTGTCTTTGTGCTGGTTTGAAAGCAAACCAGTGTGAGACTTCAAGTCAGAAGTACAATTTAATAGGAAAAAGAAAACAATAAATGCAACAGTACAAAAAGAAACCACTGACAGAGTCAGAAAGCAACCTGACACCCTGTCAGTCAGGGTGTTGGTAGTAGTCTGATGAAATGGTGGCTGCAGTCGTCCTGGAGTGATGGGTCTGTTGGAGCAGTGATCCTGTAGATTTGGTCTTCACCTGAAGGTCCAGTGGTAGCTCTTGTCCTCTGGTTATCCAGCAAAGGGCTCTGTGCTGGTCCAAACCCCAGATTATATCCATGTGGGAATGGTTGGCTCCCCCCCTTGGGGTGAAGCATCTCACAATGGGAGGATGTACTTCTGTGTCGTGCCTGGGTCCCTGACAGCCCATGAAACAGAGACAGCCCCTGATGGAGCCATCAGGGATGAGTAGGAGATCACTGCCCCACCTGCTTTAACAGCTTGTGGAGAGATAATAGAATACATACTATTGGTTGCACTCTACATTGTAACCTCTTCTAAGTTTGCTCAGACCAGCCCTTCTTTGCTGACGTATGGTGGCACTTCATGCTCTACTGCTCAGCCAGCTGGAGCTTTCCACTTCTGGAGCAGAGATGCAGAGCTCATCTCATCACAATGCACAGAAGGAAATACTGTTGCTTGTCAGAGTCTGCATTCCCTCTGGTTTACATTCATCTCTCTGAGGGGGATGTGGTGCAGCACAGAGCTTTGTAGTTTCACTTTGTGAAAAGAAGTTGTGACCTTTGAAAGCACTGTACTTAAAAACATTACCCATGAGCAGTGTGTCATGACTGCTGACTGCAGGTGAATGGTCTGGAATCTTGTAGCAGCCTCTTATACTGGCCTCAGACTGCTTTAAGCACAGGTTTAACTCTTGCCACGACTGAAACCCTCCAGTTATTCGTAGAGTCATGGAATCGACCTCTTCTGGTTGGCAGAGACCTCAAAGATCATCGAGTGCAACACTACTGCCGTTACTCGACCATGACACTAAGTGCCACATCCAGTCTCAAAGTTCTGCCACTGATGCTGAGTTCAGTTTTCTTGCAGTTCAGGCCTGACTCATTCAGAAGGTCAGTGTTGCTATCCTTGTGTTAGAGCTGGAAGATGTCAGGCAGGTTACTGGGAGTGCTGTATGGTGGTCCATCAGTGGCTTCAGAGC